TTTTTAATAGATAGAGTGATTCAAGAGGAAGGTATATAAATATACATGCATATTGTACCCGTGCGAAGCCGGGGCGGGTCGCTAGTATCAAATAATTAAATATTTCTATTAATTAAAATAAATAATTAAAAAAATAATAAAAATAATTTAATAATAATAATAAAATAAAAACTGCGTTTAAAAAACCGATTTCAAAAAACCAAAAACTAATACCAAACAAAAAGTCAAAACTAAAAAGCAAAAAATACCTATTATTAGTACTGATAGGTTACCCAATACCCACCCACTGATAGGTAAGAAGTCGGTGCCATAAGTTCCATACAAAATTATTCATGTACCTTAAAATTATTCGTGTACCTTAATAGGTATCTAATTCACAATTTTGTGGGCATTAACTCTTTCAGTACCGTCATTATAGACACAATTAAAGAACAATAGGTTGCGGTCACCGGTGTCCTCGCGGTGTTTGCCAGTTTAAGTTATATCATTATGATATGAGCTTATGGCACCGACTTCTAACCTATCAGTGGGTGGGTATTGGGTAACCTATCAGTACTAATAATAGTTATTTTTTGCGTTTTAGTTTTGACTTTTTGTTTGTTATTAGTTTTTGGTTTTTTGAAGTCGGTTTTTTAAACGCAGTTTTTATTTTATTATTATATAATTTTCAGTGTAAAGCTACATAATTATACCCGTTTTGTTACTTATAATCTACATAGGTGCAAAGTTCTAATCAATACAAATTATACAAGCCCAAACACAAGGTAACTAGTTACAGTATACCGTTGAGGAGTTCCCTTAACAATTACACTTCTTCATCATCGGACCCTTAATGACAGCCTCACTCTATCCAGGTGTAAAGTCCTCATCAATACAAATTAATCAAGCCCAAACACAAGGTAGTTACTGTATACCGTTGAGGAGTTCCCTCGACTGTCTGTCGGCTCTATCATCAGGTCGACTCCAGACCTTTATCAAATTGCAGTGTTTAAAAATCGTAATTGAAAAACATAATAGACGCATTACTCGCCCATAGAATTTTCGAAAGTTCCCCTCGGTTTCCCTAGGATCCCATCATCAGATCCTGACTTCATGGAAATCGGACCATCTCGGGAGTATACCCTTTCAAAAAAAACAAGAATTTTGCAAATCGCTTCACGCATCTCAGAGTTATGCGCGTACATACATACAAAAAAAAAGCAACATACCGGCCGAACGTATAACCTCCTCCTTTTTTGAAGTCGGTTAATAATATTCGCATTTATAATATAAGTAGGATTTGCTTATGTAATGGCTAATAGGTAGGTACTTATTCTGCGGCCATTAAACTGACGAGATATTTAAAAATTTTAAAATAGGTACCAAACAATGTCAGTTTTTTACGCTTGCAACTCAAATTGTATCGCATAGCTTTTAAAAGAATTCACAGTGCTTGCTCCTTAGTCTGTAGAGCAAAATGAGTGAATCATAACTAGTGTTTTGGTTTGGGTATCGTAACGCATTTACTTTAGAACTTCAGGATGCGACTTTGGTGGTTAGTATGTATGTAGATAACTAGATAACAGTTATTCTAGCTTCTTCCCGCGACTTAGTCTGGAAAAATTGTAGATTTTTAACTTGTAGCCTTTTCCACTCGCTGCCATTGCCGCGCCGGGGCGAAACTCTGCCGCGCCAGAGAAGTGCGTGGCGGGACGAGTTTCGGCGCGATCTCACGGCGGAATGGCAGCAACGACTGTCACAACCGAGGGCTGGGCTCGCTGCCATTGCAGCGGTAAATCCCCTCTTTGAGGAGTGGCTTGAGAGACGCTACGGTGTCCTCACCTACCGCCTGACGCAGGTCCTCACCGGACATGGAAGTTTCGGGAGGTACCTGTGTCTGATGTTGCGGGAGGAAACGCCCGGGTGTCATCACTGCGAGGACCGCCCTGAGGACACGGTGGAACACACTGTAGTGGAATGCCCTGCGTGGGCTGAGCACCGCCGTGCCCTCAGGGAAGTGATCGGCGATCTCTCGCGTCCGGGCCTAGTGCGGGCCATGATGCGGAGCGAGGGGAACTGGGATGCCGTCTCCTCCTTTTGCGAAGCAGTCATGCTAGCTAAGGAGGAGGCGGGACGCGTGAGGCAGCGAAGCGCTGCCTCCTCGCAACCCAGCCATCGCGAAGGACACACCGGGCGTCGGGGATCGCGGGACGATCTCCGGCCACCGTAAGCGCGGGACTGCGGACGGCGAGCATGGGTGGCTCCCCGTCCGACCAGAAACAGACCCGAGCGTACGGCGCGTCGCGTTCCGGGCGCGCCTCAAAGAGCCATCAGACCACCACAGATGGGGCCCAATAGGGCCGATGCCGATTCAGAGTCGCGGAGAACCTAACGGGTAACCGGGGCTATAATAACCCTTAAAAAAAAACCCACTTGTGTGTTGATACCGTATCTGATACGTTACGTGTAACACTGTTAAGTGAGTACCCAGCTATTGGTTGTGAGGATAACCTCGACCAATGACAGGCGAGAATGCGATTGAGTTCACTTCACAAGTTGGAATTGAATTTGAAAGGGTAGGCTTGTCATTTGGTCCCATTGTCATCAAGTTGGGATCTGATGATTGAATCCCAGGAGAACCGAGGGGAATTTCTAAAAATTATAGGGGCGACTAGAGCATTTATAAATTTTTTCATTAGGTAGGTGTTTAAAACTACTATAATCTCATAAAGTTCTGGAGTCGATCTGATAATGGAGTCGAAAGCCAGACGAGGGAACTCCTCAACGGTTAATAGTAGCTATCTTGTGTTTGGGTTTGATTAATTTGTATTGACCGACTATTATAATAATTATAAACTTAGAATTGAGACTGTGGAATTCGCTACCGCCTAACATGGTATTTCTAGTCTATCTCGACAATAATAACTTATTACTTTTCTTATCGCAGGTCTATAGAGGAAAATATGTATGTACCCTGTGAACACAAATCCTACTAATATTATAAACTAGCTGTTACCCGCGACTTCGTCCGCGTGAAATAGCGACTTCTGTGTAAATTGGGGTTTTAAATTAGTCTTTGCCAAGGTATACTGTACGGCTGTACGACTGTAACAAATATCATCACAATCGATTTACTAGTTGGGTTATATTTATAGATAAATGAATTTATTTCCGTGATTTCAAAAATAAACAATGTCACAGAGGTTTTACCCGTATCTACAGTCTGACACTCCCTCCCGCCTCACCCAGGCGGGAGCAGTCATTCGATGATTTTCGCCCCTTAAAAAAAAACCGTATCTACAGTGCCCGTCTCGTGAGGTTTCAGTGATAAAAACTATGTTTATATTTATATTTTTTTTAATTTTATTTTATATGAAAAATACCTTGACAAAGACTAATTTAAAAACCCAATTTATACCGAAGTCGCTATATCACGCGGTCGAAGTCGCGGATAACAGCTAGTAAGAATATAATTGTAAAATTATTTTTTTACATTACAGGTTTATTTCGATGATATCATGTCTACTACAGCTATGCTATGGCTTGCATTACCTTGAAAGGTACCATTATCCAGGTGGATACACTACGTATCCACCTGATTATGTGAATAACACTAATACAAAAGTGCCGCAACATACTTTTACACCAGATTTCCGAATTGAAGAACCTAGTTTCATACCATACCATCATTACCAGCCGGGTTTTGCTAAAGAACGTGAGAGACCTTTACGAATATCACCACACTATAAACAAATTCGAGCGTGGGAAGGGGTGGTAAGTATCCTTCCTTACTATTATAAATGGGTAAGTGAGTTTGTTTGTTTGTTTGTTTGTTCCGACTTCACGCCGTAACTACTAAACCGATTGCATTGAATTTTTGCAGACGTAAAGTTAGTAGTCTGGATTAAATAATAGGGTACTTTTTATCCCGAAAAAATTTGATATTCCCGAGGGAAAACAAAAGTATTGGTATAGATGGCGCTGTATGTATTGGTATATGTCACATAGACTACTTTTTATCCTTTTGTGACGCGAGCGAAGCCGCGGGTAAAAGCTATCCTTACTTCCTTACTAT